GAGCAGTTAATGCCTCAATGCCAGCATACAAAAATAAAATTAAAATGGTATATTTTTATTATAATAAAAATAAGCAACACATACATAAAACCTAACTAATGCAAATCAATAAAGTAATAACTATGAAAAATATGTATATATTTAGCAAACATCCGATAAGACAATAATAAAATTTTTTCACAAAAATCTTTACTGCTTTAGTCAAAAAGGAAAGGTGGGTAAACCTGCAAAACAAACACATGAACAATCACTCCCACAATCAGGGGGATGGCCAAAGCCAGGTGTGTTTATATGTTTTTGGTTATTTGATTAAAATTAGGGTAAGGGGTTAGGGCATGTCCTATAAGTAAAATCATCTTCCCGACATTTTTCGTTTTTTTGTCTTGTCGGGCTGATCCAAGAAGATCACATGTTATGATTTGATTGGCTATTAGTCACGTGAACGCACCTGGCTTTAGACGACCCCCACAATCGGAAATGATCAGAGTTTTATCAGTTTCATTACCTTTCATCAGTTTCATCACCTTTTGTCAGTTTCGTCACCTTTCGTCAGTTTCGTCACCTTTCGTCAGTTTTGTCATTTCTTCATTTCAATTTTTTTTTGACGAAAGACGAAACTAGGTTTCGACTTTTGTCAATGACGAAACCCTTAGGTTTTGTCTAACAACATTACCCAGGTCTATATATAGGTTATTATATAGGCAAAATATTTTTCTAGAGTAAAAATACCTAATCATTTTAAATCTTGAAATAATGGATATCTGGAGACCATGTATATTATTTTTAAGAGATTCAATTTTTAAAATGCCTGTTCCCACTATTTTTTATATTAACCATGTGCTTGATGTATTGGAATTAAATAAAATTGTTATTAGTAATATAACTAAACTATTTTTAATGCATGTTTTATTTCAAAGATTCAAATATGTCTAAATTTTTGATGAATAAATGTTTTATCTTTTCAATACCTATTCTAAATTGATAGTAATATCTAACACAATTCATTGCATTAGTATTTCTAAGCAAAATCCTGTTCCTTTATTCCAAACTGATAACAATATCTAATTTTATTGTATTAGTATTTCTATTTTAATAAATAAATGACTTGAGTTTATCCATTTAACTCTTTTCTAAATTGATAATAATATTTGATTTATAACATTAGCATTTTTATATTTGCAAATGAATGAATGCCTTATATTATCCTTTTTAATTCTTATTCCATGTTGATAACAATATCCAGATATTATAATTCTGCCTCAGCCAACTTTTAATATATTAGTCCTAGCAATTTGAATATTCAATTGATTTGTCTTTATAATATGTATCTTCCTCCTTTTATCGTTTTCTTGAATATTAATTATTTCTTTATTAAAATCAAATTCATCTAGAGTTAACTAAATTAATATGAATAAAATGAAATTAAGTAGTAAATATTTATCAGTTTGTTTATTTCAAACTATAAGTATTTTTATACTTGCATACTAAATTAATATAAATAAATAAAATTAAATAGTAAATATTCATAAATTTAAAATAACTTATTTTAAATACTTAGATTAATAAATGTCTTATTAATCTTGATTTTCTTGACTTGTATTTATATCCAAATTAATGTCTTAAGTCAGATTACAAAAACTTTCATGATCACCTTCATCATTATCTATATCTTGAGTTAGATCACAAAAACTTTCATTATCACCTTCATCATTATCTACATCTTGGATTAAACTATTGGTGACTACATTATTGCTTGTTTCTCCTAAACTTTCAAATACATAATCATCATTTTTACATTGATTTTCTGGATTCTTAACCCACTCATAGTTGAAAATTTTATCTTCTTCTGATCCATCTCTGGCCACAGGACATCACAGCACTTAAAAGCTTATACAATAAGTGCAAAATTAACCTGATCTCATACAGTTTTATCCAGTTAGCTACTTGACTATATGAAGGATGTTGGATATGGCCTGAAGAAGTTAAATTTAAAATTTTATTTACTATCCATTCATTATAACACTTGTGATACTAATTAATAAAATTAAAATTCTATCAGAAGTTAAAAAAAAAAAACTATATTACTAATCAATAAATATCAGAAATAATACTGAAATTTAGAGTTTTAATTTATAAATATAAACTCTACTAAAATCCATCATACTCTTTTATTATAAATATTAACTTTAACCTACCTCAAAAAAGCTTAAAAAAATATTACAAAAAAATTTTAAAACTTCAGATTAAAATAAATCAAATTTAGTATCATTTTTAACAATAATAAATACCTTATCCTTGAATGATTTATTGATATAGATATCCAATAGTTGCAGTTTACTAGTTAATTCATTGGGAATTATAGCTATATTGGTGTTTTTTTCATAGATCAATTTTTAACTTCAGTTATAAGATAGCCCAGGAATGAATCTAAAACCAGCAATGAACAAGAGGTGATAGACAAAAGTGATCATTTATTTCAAACATTTTCAATTCACCAAACCATCTTATTTGAATTCATATATTCCTCAGGATTGGTTCGAATAATAACATTAGGTGGAAATTTTTGTCATGGTATATCTACTAACTTAAAGATCATTACTGGTGACAAATTTTTTTCATCAGCCATGCAACTAAGTACAACTGTGAAGTTGGACTTTTCATATTCTATTGTACGAATTTCAATCATTTTAGCATTAGTTTCATTGATAATATAATTTGACAGCATGTTAAAGAACAAAGGAGTTTTATCTATGTTATCTATTAATGGAAGAGAGTAATCATGTTGTATGCATCTATATAACACAAAATTTAAAAACAAATGTTTTTGTTCTTCAAAATCAGCTGGTAATTTTTGTGAAACTGTAGTTTAGTGGTGGTTGCTTAGTTGATAATAGTTCATAAACCTGTTTAACCACTTATTACTTTATTTGCATTTATGAATTTTTAAATAAAGTAAAATATAATGTGTTTGCTTGGCTAGTTTTTGAGTCTTGGTTCTAATCATATATCAGAATATCACTTTTTGTTTTGTACATAAAAATTTTATTCAAAATACAAGGTCAGTCTCTAATATTGAATATTTTGCATAACCTCCAGTATTTAATTGTCTAATATGTAATAGAGAACTTATTAGTTGTTCTTTGTTTTTGATCCATTTATGCAATTGAACTAATTGTATATTAAATTATTTGGCAGTATTTTGCTTACTGGCATTAGGATTCTTTTCAATATATATGATAATAGCCAGTTTCTCATAAGTGTTTCAACTTCTTTTTTTTTTTGTAATATTGGCTTGTTTCAAATTTTTTCTATATTGTGTCATTCTAAAATTTTATAAATAAAATTTTAAAATTATATTATTATAGCTCTGCTAACTGTAGTGAAATAGAGATTGTAGTAATGAAAAATTATACTAATTTTAATAAAATTGAGATATCAGACTAGACTTTTAAATAGGATTTTGGGCTAAATATTTAACATAAGACTTCTACTTTTTTTTTAAGAGCCTAAAGGCTTGAAATGTGTATTTAAAACAGACTTCTAATAGGTTGTTTCTTACTTTTTTTTTTTAAGATTGAGATAACCAGTTATCAAGATAAGGCATCAATTTTTTTTTTTTTAGTTTTAAGCAGGTGTTTGAAACAAATTTCTAATGAAATAAGTTTTTTTTTTGATTTTTGTAGATTGAAAACTTAGATTGTTCAAGTTAAAATTTTTAGAGAACAAAAAAAAACATTTATCCAACTTATTTATACTAAATGTGTTTATTTGTACTCCTATATCATCATGAATTACTATTACTTTTTGTACAAATATGCCATTGGATTAAATTAAAATTAATAATCAAACTTTCTGTTTATATACTCATCACTACTATACTCCCAATTACTGTACTCTCTTTTTTTGTAATATATTCTCTTGAGTACATTATAAATATTTGGATAATGGAATGTAACATACCTGAATATTCTATCTGGCAATTTATAGTACTATGTCTATTATGTCTGCTAATTCTATTACTTCATTCTCAATTCATATTTACCCAACATGGCCTTTATGCCCTATGTAGCCTTAGTAGCATATATAGTCAAAATAGTCTAAATAGGCTGGGTTACTCTAATCTGGAGTAGCTATGTCACATAACTTAGCTGAATAACAGTATGTATATTTTTTTTAAAAAAAATAATGTATAGTATACACATATGTATAAAAAAAATTTGAGTTAATTATACTAGTTTGTATATTTTTTTATCAATTATAATTAATTTAATTAGGATAATTATTGTTATATATAACAATAATTTAATTTATAATGCATCATAAATAGAATAATGCAGTAGTAATATAAAATAAAAGTATTGTATAACAGAAGATTATATATTAATAAGATAGCTGTGCAACATTGTCATGCAAAACTAGGAATGGAAGACATAAAGAGTATTGGTATTGCATATTGTAAATATAATATATAGGTTGTTGCACTATTGGACATATGTAGTGATATATATAGTACACTATTATTAGAATATAGATTAGTGCCCTGTTTCAAGTCACAAGTTTCCTTGTTTTATTTTATTCTTTCTTATTTATTTATTTATATTATTATCATTATAGTCTTTTTATCATTATTTAGTTATACCTGTATATAGTTATTTATTTATAATTTGTCTTGCTCATGTACTTGTTTATGTTTAAGAACTGTGGTAGCTATGTACTTTTGCATTAAAATGAGCAGTTAGGGCAAAGGCATATATTTAAATAAGCTATAGATTTGTGATATGATCAATGTGGCTTTGTGTTACTATAGGATGGACATAGAAACTGTTTATGAAAGAGTAAATAACTGCTCATGAATATATTAATGATTTTATCATATAATTACTTAGTATAGCTTTTGCAAATAAAATTGTATAAATATAGATCCTTTTTATCTTTTTAAAAGTATCAATTATAAATAAAGCTATTAAAAAAGTTTCAACTAAATAAATCATTATATTTTACAATAATTAGTTTTAACACTTCTCAAACCTTAATTTCGCTAAATAAGTAATCATTAATTCATTATGCTAAATTATCTTTGTATATAAATATATGTTGGGTTTCTTATTTAACATAAAGAAAGTAAGCACTGAGGCTGAATAGACTTTTCTCTGAATAAATAAAAGTCATATATTATGTTAATTCTATTATATACTATGATTATAAGAAATTACTTAAAAGAATATTAATTAAATCAATCAATTACTTGGTGATTAAATTAATTCCATATTACAAACATTTATTTAGATCACTCTTAAAACATAATTAAGATTAAAGGCACTCTTTATTAAATCAATCTTGATTATTCTTAAACTACTACCTCTTCTGATCAACTATTATCAACTGAACCTTAAATAGTATATTGAATTTACTGATATTACTCCTCTTAATAGTAATTAGATTATTATACTTTATATTCAGTTAACTATTAAAATATTGCATAGTAAGACTTTTAGAATTCAGATTAGTAAGCATAATTGTGACTAGTTAGTATAACTCTGGTTGGGTTGCATAATGCAGTGGCTAGAGATATAAAAATCAAGTTTTTTTTTAATCTATTGTGCAAACTGCATAGCCTGCACAGCCTGCACAGCCTCAGTCTCTAAAGATATTTACTTATTAGCTTTTACCTTTATACATATAAAATATCTATTTCATATATATAAAGTTGGGCTTCTATCATCAGTTTTTGTTTTATGTTTTTTTTTACTTTTTTTCTACATATTGGTGAATTTGCATCACCTGGTCAATAGAGAAACTTATTGTTAATAATTATGATCAAATTTGCAGATTATTTGGTCAGATCTAGAATAAAACAACTTTAAATATAATCAAATAACTTGCAAATTGATTAGAATTATGAACAATGGATTCTATTAATCAGGTGACACAGAACTGATTTTCTTTCAGACCAGTTTGAACTGATTTACAATTAGTAATTCAAACCTGGATTATAAAGCTACCTAGAATTATGTCAGCTGGCCAGAATTATGAAAATTGCACTACACAGTCTCAAAAATGCTTGTGCAATGTTCTATCTCTAGCAGTGACTCATTTCTAACTATATGCATTGTACATAAAATTTTTGCTGGTTTTTTCTATAGTAGTTAGTTAATAATACTATACAATTGTATAAATATGTATGAATATATGAAAATTGAGTAAAATTTTGATAGTAGATATAGTTAACATAGTTTTATAAAATTAATATTTACAAGTTTATTATCTGTTTAGCATATAGAAGTTACAAATTATTGAGTATAACTAATACATTTTATTTAATATAATTATTTAGCTAATGCTTACTTGTTATATCAATGATTTATCACATATTTATGCCAAATAACTAAATGAAAAAGGAAGCCTAATTCTTTACAAGTAAACTATTTTTATGTTTAAGGTTAGAGCAATTGTAAGTATTGTTTTTTTTTTGTATAAGGTTATAGAAAAATTGATTTTTTTTGAAAAATTTCTTTTCTAAATTATATAAATTATCATAATTTCTATATGTCTGTCCCAATTTGTGTTTCTGTACTGTTTATTTAACATATACCCTTGTTTATACCAGCTAATTAAATTGCTAGATATGCACTGTATAGACTATATATGAAAAAAATTTAGTATCATATAAATGGCTGATTATTAGGCATATGATGTAAGATTACACAGATCATCAAAAAACAAATAAATTTTTAGTTTTATATATAAAGTAGAGATATTTCATTTACTATAAAACAATGTATCTATTCTTGATATAAGCAAAAACAAGTCATAGCTTGACTTTGTTATATCTTATCAAATTTAGTTTAAACAAGTTATCTTTTTTTTATAAAAATAAGTAACAAAAAACAAAAACCTGTAAATTATTTTACTCACTATTAAG